ATTCACCAATTATATCACTGTTATAACTAAAGAGAGCAGTGGTCCTAGTACAGACCCCTGTGGTAATTCACCAATTATATCACTGTTATAACTAAGAAGAGCAGTGGTCCTAGTACAGACCCCTGTGGTAATCCATTAATTACATCACCCCATTTTGAGTATTCTCCCTTCTCATTTCGATTTCACCAATTCTCAATCCAAACTCACTTTTCTCCAAAATCCTACAGCTTGCAATTTGAGTATTTTTAAGAGGGAACTTTAGAAATTGTATTATGCTCTATCACAAGCTCTGTGGTTCTATTATTCTCTGTGGTTTGTTGAAAGAACTCTGACACATTTCTAAATCCATGGTGACTATCTATCCATCCCATCTGTTTTCTCAGCACTCTGTCCAGTACAGGGTTGCAGGGGAGCTGGAGCCTAATCAGCAAGCTACGGGCACAAGGCAGGGTACACCCTCAGTTTTGTCACCCTTCCTGCGGATGGGAGCCCCATTAGTCTTTCTCCAGTCCCTGGGTGGGTGCCCAGGGAATGTTGGAAGAGTTTCATTTCAATGGCTTCTGAAGAACATCTCTTATTTCCTTGAGTACAACCGGCAAGATCCCACCATTACACCAGTACCTGAAACACCTCTCCCTCGTCTACACTGATATCTGTAATACAGACCCCTGTCCTTCTGCTGCCTGGGGCATGAGATTGACTCTTGTAGTGAACACCTGAGTGAAATATTCACTTACTGCAGTACGTCAGCTAGTTCCTTTTCACCATCTAGCGGTTTGCCATCGTTCTCTCAGATGTATTCAGCTTCACTCCTGACAACAGTTTTGCTGTTGTACTTCTGGAAGGACTTGAAAACCCTTTTATACAGGTGCCATCTGTCTTCCACTGAATTCATGTCTGTCTCTGTCCCACTTTACTTCCTTTAAACTCACTGTCATTCCTCCAAATCCTGCTTTCTGGACATTATTTGGTTTTATATTTAGTCTTTCTATATCATTTTGGGCTTTGGATTGTACCCGCACTGTTTTGAAATGCACGTCCGAGCCACTCCGCACGATCATCACTAAGTAGGCTCACTAACGGTTCTCTCGGCTCCATTCGCCTTGCCTTGTCTTGAGTGCTTGAAAGGACCGGATCTATTCAAGCTCGATCAAAACTGTGCAGATGGTTTGCATTTCTGCTGTGTCTATTCCTACCTGCAAAAGCGGCGTGTCTCAGGGTCTCCGAGCTGCCTTGACTGACGGTCCCTGCCAGTGTCTGATCCTCCGCTGTCGTGACAGGAGATCGGCTCACCACATAGCCTCACATGCAAATAGGAGCATCAGCTGCATCTCGGCCTGCCTGTCGTCCTGACCCGCCTGCTTGCCCTGGTGGTGAAAGCCAGGCGCGTCTAATTAACCAACTCTGAATCGAACAATCGATTCGGATAGAAAAGCACTTCTCTGGACACTCCACTCAAAGCTCTTTACAGGTAATGGGTCCCCCTTTCCACCACCACCAGTGTGCAGCCCCACCTGGATGATGCGCCAGTCTGCTCACACACACCAGCTCTCAGAGGGGAGCAGAGTGATGAAGCCAGTTCAGAGAGGGGGGTTATTAGGAGGCCATGATTAGGAAAGACCAGGGAAAATCTAGGCATTAGGACCCACACAGACTGCAGGGTGAGCACCCCCTACTGGCCCCACTAACAGCAACCTTAGTTTTTTCCAGGAGGTCTCCCATCCAGGCTCACACCTGCTGAGCTTCGGTGGGCTGCCAGCTGTGAGTAGCAGGGTGATCCAGGCTGGCTATTCAGCTAGGACTGTGATTAGTACTGACCATCTATCTTTCTGTCCAAGGATCTGGATCAATTAGCTCTGCCTTACTGTCTCTCTGGTCCTGTGTGGGTTCAATTAGCACTGCATCTCTCTCTCTCTTTGGGCTTGTGTTTCCATCCCAGTCCCGGGATTGATTAGCGCAGTCTTGCTGCCTCTTTCTCCTTACTGTGTCTGATCAAACAGCTCCAAACTCATTTATACCTTTCCTATGATGTAATGCTGAAATAGAAACGAAATGAAAGGGTATATTCAGTGATTGTCGCACAAATGCAAGCATGAACAATTGTATTTTTTATAATGAATTTTAATAAGTAGCAGATTATTCACATCATTGTCAGAAACAACAGAAATGAAAAATAAATGTCCCTCCAAAAGGAGAATTCCCTGGACCAGAAGGCAGTGAGACTCCTGCCAACCTGAACTTTCATTACAGGTAAATAAAACACAAATTCATAACGTACTGATAGAAAAAAAAAACCATCACTCAATTTCTAAAGCTGGATTTGATTTTTTTTCCAGAATATTTTCACAGCAGGAATTTGACAGCAGTAATGGAATTTGACAGCAGTGTTGTCCCCTGTGGGAGGTTGGAATAAGATGGCAGATCACGTGCTGAACTACATTCCCCAGAAGGCTGTGGAACTTCACCAGCCGCCCTCGTGGGGAATGTAGTTCTGACAGGATCTGCCATCTTCTCTGAACCTACCATCCTCTGGCACCTCTTATGGCACGATCTTATCAGATCTCATTAGCAAAGAGCCTGGTCAGGGTGCGAACTGAACAGAACTTCCAGGATTTACAGTGGCAGGGTGTGGTGAAGCCACAGTTGGACCTTGGGCCCCACTGCTCATCTGATTAAGCTTTGATTCCTGATCAAAAGGAAGGCAGAGCCCTTTAATCGCAGCAGGGCTGAAAGGGAGGGACAGGGAGAGTGGGAGGGGAGTAAGAGAGATATGCAGTGAACCAAGCTGCTACCCAAAGAAAATCATTTTTTTCATGGCGGAGTGGGGGTTAGCCCTGGGTTCGATTCTGGGGGTTCTATCTGTGTGGAGTTTGTATTGCTCTACTGTTAGCGCTCTTGTTTCCCCCCACAGGCCAAACACATGCTGGCAGGTTAACTGGTTCCTGGACAAACTGGCCCTGGTGTGAACGTGTATCCGTGTCTGTGCCTGTGTGTGTGTCTGTCTGCCCTGCGATGGACTACCGTTCCCTCCAGGGTGTACCCTGGCTTGTGCCTGGCCCTTGCTGGGATAGAATCCTGCTCCCCTACGTCCCTGTACTGGATAAGGCAGTTAGAAAATGGATGACAATAATCTGGGCGCGCATGCGAAAGGATGAACCCGGTTGGTTGTTGCCAGACCCTGCGACGAATTGTGGAAACAGCTTAAAAGATCTTTGGAGCCTCCCCCTCTTCCATTTCTGTCACCTGTCACAAACGCTGCAGACACAGGGCCTCCAGTTTAGTAGAAGACCCTTCCCACCCCTCCCATAAACTCTTTGCCCTCCTACCACCTGGGAAAAGATAACGCAGTATGCGGGCCAGCTCCACCAGACTCTGTAACAGTGTTGTGTAGATTGTATCATGTATTGCCTTGAAATTTGCACTTTGCACTACGTGTATCCTGTCTACAATGTCTATGTCAGTGTCCTGTCTGTCTTTGCACCATGGACCAGGGGGAAGGATATTTTGTTGCACTGTGTACTTGTATATTTGTATATGACAAATAAACGTGAACTTGAACTTGAACTGGTGGTTTTAACCACTGATCACGAGCGAAGGTTTCAGATCCAGGGCCGCTAGGGCGTGGCCTGTCACAGGGACTGATGGGCACGCCGTAGCCCCGTTTACGCCATGGCGGTGGCGACGCCCACCGCTCCAGCCACCACGCCCACCGTGACCACCGCCAGGCCCAGCAGGGCCCACTCCTCCTCCCGCAGGGGGCCGAACCAGCGCCCCCCCGTCGGGGCGGGCGGCTTCTCCTCCTCCGCCGCGCCGCGCTGGGGCGCCGACCTCCTCTCGGTGCCGCGGATCGCGCCCCCCCTCCTGCGCGGGACGCCCTCGCCCTCCTCCGCCCGGCGGCACGTCCCGCCCTCCTCGCCCAAGCGGTCGATCTTGTCCAGCAGCTCCCCGACCTGTCGGCCGTCGCCGGGGTCCCCGTTATTGAAGACGTGGTAGTGGCGGCCGAACCTCTGCAGGATCTCCCGCCAAACCCGCTGGCCCTCCAGCGCCTCCTGCTGGCGCCGCTCCGTCAGCCGGTCCCCGTGCGTCAGCAGCGCGATGGTGCGTCTCTCGGACGCCTCCCCGAAAACGTGCCGCACCCGGGCCGCCGCCGCCTCGTCCTCGGCCGTGAGCCGGCCGGGGTCGATCACCAGCAGGTAGGCGTGGGGCCCCGGGGCGCCCAGAGAGACGCACCTCCGCGCCTCGGGCCCCCTGCCCTCGCCCTCGAGCACGGAGCCGGGGGTGTCGATCACCACCACCTGCCGCCCGCCCACGCGCCGCTCGGCTCTGGCGCAGCTCTGCGTGGCTGTCCCGGGTGCGAACGCGGCTGCTCCCAGGATGGTGTTTCCCGTGGCGCTCTTCCCGGATCCCGCTCTCCCCAGCAGCACGATCCTCGTCTCGCTCCGAGGCCCTGCGGGAACAGGCGAGCGACAAGCCGGCATGCTTCTTATATCCGTTCCCATCCATTCCTGAAGCGCTTTCTCCAGTACAGGGCGCCAGAGTCTATCCCAGCATGCAGCAGGCACAAGGCAGGGTACAGTCTGGACAGGACACCAGTCCACCACAGACACACACACACACACCCTGGACAGGACAACAGTCCATCACAGGACACACACACCCTGGACAGGACACCAGTCCACCATACACACACACACACACACACACACACACACACACACACACTGGACAGGACACCAGTCCATCACAGGGCGCACGCATACACACATGTACACATGCATGGCCTGCTTTCCCAGAAACCAAATAACCAACCAGTGTGTCTTTGGACTGTGGGAGAAAACCCATGTGACCATGAGGAGAACATGCAAACTCCACACAGACAGCACCCCAGGAATTGAACCCAGGACCCCAGCACTGAGAGGCCACTGTCCCTCCCGTGCTTTCCAATGGAAATTGACCACTCATTCATAGCAGGTGATCTTTGAGAATTTAACTAAAACACAGGGAGACTGTGACACCCCGATGAGCTCCAGTACACCTGCATTGAATTCCATCCCACGTGGAAGGAGCTCGTCAGGGCCATCTCAAATGAGATCAGGCTGGGCCTTTCTACCTCATTAGGGGAACCTCACAGACTATTTAAGCCCTGATGCATGCCTCAGGGCTCAGTCATTGAGTCAGCCTAGGCACGTCTCACGTGCCCTTTTCAGGTCTTTTTCCCAGGACCCTCCCAGAGCTCTTCCGCCCCCACATCTCCTAAACACCCTCCTAATTAAGCCCAATAAACCTATTAATCTCCTCCGCTGAGTCTAGATCGGTCACTATTCATTGTCGTGCCCCAGTCTCCATCTAAGGGCATGGCACAACAGGGATTTGACAGTGGTGGGCACAGTGGGGGCCGGGGCAGCGATCGCTGCTGCCTCACAGCCCCCGGATCCCTGGGCACCTTCTGTGGGGAGTCTGCATGTCCACCGGGTGCATTTCCTTCATTCTGGGGCCTGAAGACATGCTGCCCAAGTGAAGTTGCACCTCTGAGTGGCTCCATGTCTGCGTGTTCTGATAGGGAAACTCTAACAGGATGAGGTCTGGCCGAGGGCTGGCTGGAGGAACAACAGTCATTTGTTTAGGCAAATCCAGCAGAGGGACTCTCATTTCGCTGCTTATTCGCTCGCAGTTTTCGGCTGGTATGATGTTTTCCTCCATTATATCCTATTACTTACAAGGACACCACGCAAACACACAGAGACACACACTCGCACCAGGGCCGGTTTTCCCCGGTCATCCACCAGTGTGCCTTGGGACCGCGGGAGGAAACCTGAGCACCTGGACTGAACATACAAACTCCACGCAGAGAGCACCCCAGCAATTGAACCCGAGGCCCTGCAACATTAACCACTGCGCCACCATACTGCCCACATATAAAAACCCCAGCCGGAAATACCTGTAACTCTGCTGTTGTGTAAATATCGCAGAACAGGTGAAATAGCTCTTTATCTGTATGTGGCCAACATCTCATACTCGGACACAGTGGGGACACATTCCAGAAACAATTGTGCAACCTTAGTTATTCCGTATCGCTTAAAATCATCATGCCTCTCATAGTTACTTCTCCCGTCACGCTAGTGTGTTAGTATTACAATTTTGGAAAGAAAGCGCACACTAACCTTGGGACATGGTCAGGGGAATTGAAGTTTCTCCTCTCCCTCCCTGAGCAGGCGGCTGCTGTTGTAGCTCTCGGCTCTGAGCCCGTGCAGCGCAGGCAGGTTGCCGGAAGGATAGGCGGCGATTTGCTTAGGTAAATTCGGCCGCGGCATGCAGCCCCCCCCCCTGGAGGCGAGGTCTGCCTCTTTGTTCGCCAAGGGGGGAGCTGGAGTCGAGTCGTACCCTGTACAGACACGGCGGGGTCTGGATCTGGGCTGGGCTCTGTCTTGTCCTGGGGGAGCCCGGGGGGTGATTCACAAGGCTGAGTCTTCTCTGCCAGGCCAGCGCCAGGAGGTGAGGCGATTGGCTCTTTTCGACTCTCTTGTATCGCTCATCGATGTTGGATGATTCTGTGGGAGAAAATGTCCTTGTATAAAATCTCTCAGTGGACAACAAAGCCCCAGCTGGAGCAGAGGGTCTTTATTTGCATGCACATGGGAGATCCAGCTTGAGAGGCCTCTCCCCCTCTCTCTCTCAGGACCCTGCTTTTGTCTTCTCTGGCTGGACAGAGGTGTGAGCTGGGGCCTTGCTTTTCTCCTGCTGGATTCTCTCAGCTCAGAACCAGTTCCGGCTGGTGCTACCGCAACCTTGGTTTCTTTTCCATTTACAGAACTGTTTTCAACTTCAAAGTGATCAGTTCTCCCTTCTCTCCTAACCTCTCCCCCAGCCCTGGAATCTGCCTGGTCCGTCTAACTCTCCTTTCACACAGCGTAATTAATTCTACCTCTTGAAGAACTTCTGCTTGCAACAATAATGGTATTCATAAGCAGGAAAATAGAGTTTTTGCACATACAGGTACATTTTTGTTAGTTTATCAGTATTAATCAATATTCCTGCCCTTAAGTAGCATTAACACATGATATTTAATTATGAAGCTTCTGTGTATAAATCCTCACCTCCTGCAGTTCCTGGTTGCTGTGGTGATGGCTTCCTACCACTGACTATTAGTTACAGAAGTTGCCTCTTTAGATTCACAGATATAAGCCAGGTAAAAATCAAAGAGTCTGTGAGTTACAGATGTTTCTGGATATCCCGTGTTCTGGCAGCTGGACAGTATGAAGGTCTTTGGACTGGTGTGATGGACTTCTGTTTCCACACCAGCGTCCTGAGAGCTGCCCCTCAGCAGTGGCCAGGCCTCTCGGCTCGGAGCTGGAAGTGTGTGGGTTCAAATCTCAGTACAGACTCTGCTGTTGTCCCTGCGAGTCAGCTCCATCACTCAGATTGCTTTAGTAAGGTGCCCAGCTGTGTCACTGTCAGCCATTATGGATAAAGGCATCAGCCAGATACAGTGGTGCCAGAAAGTTTGTGAACCCTTCAGAATTTTCTGAATTTCTGCATAAATGTGACCTGAAATGTGATCAGATCTTCATCCAAGTCATAAAAATAGATAAAGAGAACCCAATAAAACAAATGACACACAAAAGGATATACTTTTTCATTCATTTATCGATCAAAATGATCCAACATTAAATGTCTTTGTCAGAATTCAGCCACAAACAAGAGGAGGTAGCTAGTAGTTTATTCATTCATCATTTAGCTTGTTCCACACTCCCACTCCCCTTTGTGTAAAGCAGAGTCTTCTGTCCTGATTGGAGGAGCTCATCCAGCTGATTCTTGAAAGAAGTCATGGCTTCAACAACGTGGCTGGGCAGCTTGTTCCCCACTCCCACCACCCTCCTACTAGACGTTGTTGATTATTTAAAATCCCACGCATTACTATGGCCTGAGCGGTGACTCTGGTATCTTCAGAAGAACTGTTGTACTGTAAATGTGGTCTCTTTTTTTATTTATTTGGCAAAGGCCTGTGTTAAAGATCCTGAGAGAGAGGAAAGAGAGCATCAACATACTGGAATTATAATATTTGGAAATGTTTCTAAATTACTTGGGTAATACATAAACATTTGTGTTGAATTTGATCCAGGCCTTTAGAAGGTATTGCGTTGATTAAGTTTCCTTATGATGGACTGAGGTTTTCCACAAAGGGGTCTGGAGACTCCTGCTTTGCTAATTGTTGGCCAGTGGACTATTGGGTATATCATGTATTAAATCGAGGCAATTGAATCGCAGTGCCTGAGGTTCTCTTTTTTAACTTCTCTAATGAGGCTGGAAGCACTTCACTCAAACTCTTCTTTTTCCAAAATTTTAAAATTGCGTTCTGTGTGTGAGTATAAGCAAATTAAAAGCACTCCTTTAATTTATAAAGATTAAATCGTGAAAACACCGAGAATGGTGTCCGGAAATCTTTCCCTGTCTGACTTGTGGACCTTGTAAGCAGCTCCCGCACCCCAATAATGTGATATCTAAAGCACTTCAGTCGTGCCTTACTGTGATATTTTAATTTAAATGCATCCAAACGGCTTTGCAGGCCGCAGACAGTATCGCAGGACCCCTAGCAACAGTCGCCAAGGCCGTGACGTCACACGGGAGAGCCGAGCTGGGCGCACCTGGAAGCGACCGAGAGCGAACAGGGCGCCGCCGCCTGTCCCTCCAGCCTGCGGCTACGCCTCGGGTCCCCCTGCGTGCTAGCGGGGCCGACGGGGGTCCTACAGCACCCCGACTGCACGTCTGGGCTCCATGGGCCGTAAGAGGGAACCGTAATCTGCCGCTGCTCCTTTAACAAAGCAGGGGGAGGTGGGTGTCCTGCGCGAACTGCCCAGCCATGTTGTCGGGTCCGCTGGCCAGACGCCACAAGCCGCACCGGAGGGCCGCGCACGGCGATGCCTGATGACAGCCCTACCCGTCCCGCCCCCTCCGCGGTCCGGCCCGAGACGCCGACAGCTGTAGCGCGTGCCGGCGAGAGCGAGCCCGGGACTGTGACCGCGATGGCGGCGCGCGCGTCGCCGGGACTGGGTTTAGTAGGCTGAGGTGTGAGAGTGGGCTTGCTCTAGGTAAATGGTTCCTCTTGTAAAGACCCCGTCCGCAAGGCTGCATTACATCCGGTACGCTGCAGACTCCTAGCACAGGGCATTACAGCACTTTCTGAATGATCAATACGTTAAAAAAGAGCTGTTATCTTCAGGTCTCCCTTTAAAACGGTGTTTATCTTCCGCGAGTCGGAACGATTCAACTTCCTATGCCGGCCTTTGGGGTTATCAGAGCAGGTGCCCTTCCTAATTAGGAGGTGCCTGAGAGAAATGATTGCCCCGTCAATGAAACTCGTGCGTTAAATTTGCTTGGTTTGCAGACCTGCGTTAAGGGTCGTGTTTTACTGCGTGAAAAACAAGGCAGAGCAGAGACGTGCCTACAGATTTAGATGGGAGAAGCCGGGAGTTTGGCATGATCGAAAACTCACCCGTCGGTTTTCTAACCGCCTTATCCAGAACAGGCTGGCGGAGGAGCCGGAGTCTATCCCAGCAGGCAGCAGGCACAAGGCAGGGTTCATTTCCTTCGTGGGGCAGACACGGACACACGCTTACTCCTACTGCCAATATCCCCAGAAACCAATTTACCTCCCAGCATGTCTTTGGATTATCGGTCGAAACCCACACAAGCTCCCTGCAGATAGCAGCCCTGAACACCATACCACCCACAAAGTTCTTATACAGAATTACTCCTCTAAACAACCCTCTAAAAACCAAACTAGATTAAGCCCATTGTGAGAATGTGGGAATGTGACTCTGCCCATTGTAATGAATCAATTAATACATCACATGTGAATCTCTGCACACACTATGGACTCGGCGCCTGCGCCCTCTAGTGGCGGGTCAGTGAAAGTACGTTCCTCCTGTTGGCCAGCCACACACACACACATTATTTCAAAGTGTTGGGGTTTTACAGCTACCCCGGTTTTGTCTGGAAAATGTCCATTTTTAAAGACCTCCATCTTGAGAATTGAAAGCGGGCGATCTGTCCTTGTCATTGAGTGGCGCAGTGGTGCAGTGGACGTTGATTGGCCCTGGTGAGAGTTAGGCTCCGGCTTCCCGTCGACCCAGTACTGGATAAAGCGCCCAGAAGATGGATGGTGATCTGTCATTTTGTGGTGGTTCGGACAGCAACAGCCTTGCCCTCCTTTCAGGGTTTCACCATTGTCCAGGAGCTCAATCGTTGGCGATAGGTGATTTCCTGTGAGTGGCTTTTAAAGACCGTCACAGGATTGGGGCTCTCCAGGGCCAGGGCTGGGGACCCTCCTCCCGCAGGTGGTGCAACACAGCAGGGAAGGTAATGAAATTAAAACAATTCCAGTACCGCGGACCACAAGAAAAGTGGTTTGGATATTAAAACATTTAGGGACGTATGTTGTAGCACCACATTGGGACAGACTGTGAAAGAACATGTGGTTCTGCTGTGTCTTTATTTGAGTTGGGTTTTTATGTGCTTCAAATACTCGTGTCTACTGTACTGTTCTCAGAGCTGCTGCTCACAGGCTCGTTCTGCTGTCTGCTTGTTCCCCAGGAGCTGGAGAGGCCGGCGCTCTCCCTGACACTGGGGAAAGGGCTCCCACTGAGCAGCAGCACTGGGAGCAGGAGTGGGGCTCCAGTCTGAGGCAGGACCCAGAGCCCACGGCTACTGGAGGAGCTCGGGGGACTGGAGTCTGTCCACATGGCAGAGACGGACACGGAGGGCGTCCCACAGGGACTCCCCACGCCGGGGTCTGAGGCAGGAACGTCAGCCCTCATGCCCTGCTGTGTCAAAAACGACACTGACTTGGACTCCATCCACTCTGGAGATCATTCCCGTTCCAATACACAGGTCCCTGGCACTATGGCTCAGAGCTTTGAAAACGCTCAAGTGAGCAAAATGATCAAAACAGAGCCTGAAGAACAGGACTGCATGAAGCCAGATCAGGACAGCCTGCAGCCCGTCCACAACACCGAGCTACGTTGTCTGGAGCACATGGGCACGGCTGGTTCAGGGGCCCAGCAGCCTACTGGCAGGCCCAAGGCGCCCAGGACTGAGTCTGTTACAGAGACACCCATTAAATTAGAGCCCATGCCTGTTTCAGAGGTCCCCATCAAATCAGAACCCACATCTTTTACAGAGGTCCCCATTACATCAGAACCCCACTTGATCCCAGACACACAGTTTAAGTTAGAACCCGATTCCATTACAGAAGGAGCCGTTAAAACAGAACCTCGGTCTGTTACGGGAAGACCCGTGAAATTAGAACCCGAGTCTGTGGGCCCAGGAGAGGGGCTCAGTGCAGGGAGTCGGAGCCCTGAACCCTCCAGCCCACCCTCCCCCTCAACGCTGTCTGTGAGCACCAGCACAGTGGAGACCCCCGGAGACCCTGCGGACTGCCATCGCTGTCCCCAGTGCGGGAAGACCTTCAGCAACCTGGGAAACCTGAAGACACACCAGCGCATCCACACGGGAGAGAAGCCCTTCAGCTGCTCCCAGTGCGGGAAGAGCTTCAGCCAGCTGGGGAACCTGAAAACCCACCAGCGCTTTCACACGGGAGAGAAACCGTTCTGCTGCTCCCAGTGCGGGAAGAGCTTCAGCGTCTTAGTCGCCCTCAAAACGCACCAGCGCATCCACACGGGCGAGCGGCCGTACTCCTGCTCGCAGTGCGGGAAGAGCTTCCGGCAGGTGGGGGTCCTGCAGAAGCACCGGCGCGTCCACACGGGCGAGAGGCCCTACTGCTGCCCGCGCTGCGGCAAGAGCTTCAGCCAGGCGGGGCACCTGAAGCAGCACGAGCACGTGCACACGGGCGCGCGGCCCTTCCTCTGCCCGCAGTGCGGGAAGCGCTTCCACCTGGCGGCCGAGCTCAAGACGCACGGCCGCACGCACACGGGGGAGAAGCCCTACGGCTGCGAGCAGTGCGCCAAGCGCTTCACCAGCTCGGAGAGCCTGAAGTCGCACCGGCGCGCCCACACCGGGGAGAAGCCCTACTGCTGCGCCCAGTGCGGGAAGAGCTACAGCCTCTCCAAGAGCCTGAAGAACCACCAGCTGATCCACACGGGCGAGCGGCCCTACCGCTGCGGTTCCTGCGACAAGAGCTTCCGGGTCAAGACGCAGCTGCGCGAGCACCAGCGCATCCACACGGGCGAGCGGCCCTACCGCTGCGACCGCTGCGGCAGGGGCTTCACCAAGTCGGGGGGGCTGAAGGTGCACCAGCGCATCCACACGGGCGAGCGGCCCTTCGGCTGCGACCGCTGCGGCAAGAGCTTCATCACCTCCGGCGGCCTGCAGAAGCACCAGAGCAACCACACGGGCGAGCGGCCCTTCTGCTGCGCCCACTGCGGCACCACCTTCTACGAGCTGGCCAAGCTGAAGCGGCACCAGCGCATCCACACCGGGGAGCGGCCCTTCAGCTGCGCCCAGTGCGGGAAGAGCTTCAACCAGTCGGCGCACCTCAAGGTGCACCAGCAGGTTCATGCCAAGAGGAGGCCAGACGGCGGCGCGGCCGGGCCCTCTGGTGCCGGGCCCCACAGGTGAGTGGTCCCAGCCTCCCTCAGGAACATAGGACGGGTCACGGGAGAGAGCAGGCCGTTGGGCCCATTCAGCTCGTGTGGTAGTTAGTAGGTCATTGATCTGAGCATCTCATTCCTGAGAGAAGTCAGGATAGTGGCTTCAGTAATATGGCTGGGCAGCTCGTTCCACACTCCCCCCTCCCCCTGGGCGAAGAGAACGAATGAATAGCCCATTGTGCAATTTGGAGGCCTTTCATTAACACATTGGCAGGGAGTTGGGAGCTGTGGGGTGTATTTTTCTGTTGACTGGTACAAAGAAACACTCTTTTCAAACCCTTCTAAGCCTAACCTAACCTTCTTCTAACCCTAACTCTCCTACCCTAACCCTAATGCATTTCAAACATTTCTAAAGGTAAGCCTCTTATATGCTAATAGTCACTGTAAAACAATAAAATATGTGCAAAATCCGCATGTGCGTACGTGCATAGGTGTATACAGATTGAAAGTACCACAGTATAAACAGTATATTAATGCCAAAAATGTCCAAAAAGTACATTAGCGCAACATGCTGTCCATAGACGAGCAGATGAAGGGCTAACAGTCCGAGCCTAGGGCAGTGTTACACACCCTGACAGCCGCCGGGAGGAGAGACCTGCGGAAACGTTCCCTTGAACACCGTAGCTGGAGCAGGCTGTTGCTAAAAGTGCTCCGCTGCCCAGTAACAGTCCCATGAAGTGGATGAGAGACGTTGTTCATGATGGCTGAGAGCTTGGTCAGCATTCTCCTCTCAGCCACCACCTCCAGGGGGTCAAGGCTCATCCCCAGCATAGTGCCAGCCTTCTTGATGAGTTTATTGAGTCTATTTACATCTCTTGTCATGATGCTGCTGCCCCAGTACACAACAGCATAGAAGATGGCAGCTGCCACCACTGATTCCTAAAAAATGTGTAGCGTGTTCCACATACACCGAAGGCCCTGAGCCTCAGTGGAGAGTCCACCTGTGCCGCCCTTAGCTTATCTCTCAGTAATTCCGCTCAGTGATTACGCTGATGGAATATTTTACCACTCCCACGTGAATAATAATATTTGCTTACACTTATATAGCGCTTTTCTGGACACTCCACTCAAAGCGCTTAACAGGTAACGGGGATTCTCTCCACCACCACCAATGTGCAGCCCCACCTGGATGATGCGACGGCAGCCATAGTGCGCCAGAACGCTCCCCACACATCAGCAATGAGTGGGGAGGAGAATTAAAACTTTAGTTATCTTTAGACACCACAGGGAAATCAGCAGACATGGGTTGTGTGCATCTGTCCTTATCTGATACAGCTAAATCATTTTATGCATAAACATAATCGTGTGTTACTGAGAGTGGAAGTTGGAAGGATTTTTCCAGGGCATGCAATTTCAGAGGGGGAAACAGATTTGCAGGGTGGTTCTGAATGGAGGCAAAAATGACTCTTCATGGACTCACAGTGGCACAGTGGTTAGCACTGGGGCCCCGAGCTGAATCCGCAGGCACCCCTTGTGTCCATGTAGGTGTGTGTGTCCTGTGATGGACTGCTGTCCTGTCCAGGGTGGGTGTTGTGATGGACTGCTGTCCTGTCCAGGGTGTGTCCTGTGATGGACTGCTGTCCTGTCCAGGGTGGGTGTTGTGATGGAC